GATCCCTAGACTCGATGTGTCTGTGGCAAGGACAATTTCCCGGGATGGATCAAAGTGAGTTAGGAGTAGGTCTGAAGCCAGCAATAACTTGACCCGCTCGAACGCAGCCTGGCATTCTGGCGTCCAATCCCAGGTTTGGCCCTTGCTCAGCAACTTATTCAGCGGGGCACGCAGGCGATGTAGTTCGGGCAGAAAAGCGCTGGGATGACTGGTTAGACCACAGAATGAACGCAGCGATTGCAAGTCCACAGGTGGGGGCATCTTTTGATTAGCTCGGATATTTTCTGGATCAGGGCGACGACCGTCTTTTGAGAAAATGAAGCCAAGTAACTTGATGGTTGGTGTAAAAAAGGTACACTTGTCTTCACGGATACGGAAACCATATGACGATACCTACAAGGACTTCAGCGAGCCGCTGAACTAGTTCTTCTGTCGTCCGACCCATTAAAATGATATCATCCAGGTACGCCGCGGCTCCAGAAACTCCCGCGAGCATGGTGTCCATCAGCTGCTGGAAGATGGCTGGTGCTGTTTTCATACCAAAAGGGAGGCGGTTGTACTGGTACAAGCCACGATGAATGTTGATGGTCAGCGATTCTCTCGAGCTTTCATCAACCTCGACCTGGAGGTAGACATCGGACAAGTCGAGCTTGGCGAAACACTTCCCACCATTCAGCTTAGCAAAGCTATCCTCTGGTATCGGAAGGGGATATTGGTGGTCGTCCAATGCGGCATACAGGCCAGACGAAAAATCGGCACAGATACGCACTTTACCTTTCGGCTTTCTCGCAGCAACAATCAGCGTAACCCATGAAGAGTAGTTTACTGGTGTGATGACACCGGCTCGTTCCAGTCGGTCGAGCTCCTGATCAACTGCTGCTATGGCTGCATTCGGTACCGATCTTTTTGAGCTGAAGACTAGCTTGGTTCCTTCATGAAGGCACAACTTCGCTTTGAACTTAGTGCAGTGGCTGAGACCATCTTCAAACAAGGTAGCAAACTTCTGCTTTAGCTTTCTTCTCATGTCTTCTATCGACAGTGATGCATGGACTGAGTCGGTTTGGACTCTATTGCAAATCTGACTCATTGGAACATCAAACATTTGTAATTTTTCCTTCCAGTCAAGTCCAAGGAGGTTCAACTTTGGTCGGTCAGACAAGTAGCAGGTTCCGGCCTACTCCACTCCGTTGAATGCAATTTTGCAATTTATTTCTCCGACCAGCCTCAGCACTCCACCGGATGCGTTGTGGGCGACTTTGTTGGAATCAACCATCTTCGGCTACTTTATGTGCTTCCAAGTGTTCTTGGAAATGATCGTTATATCTGATGCCGTATCGAACTGCAGCCGGGTTGGGATTCCGTTGATAAGCACAGTGATAAATTGACGGCGTATTCTAGAATCGCTGTAAAACGTGACAATCACCGATGGTGATTCTGCGTCAGGCTTCTTGAAGTTCTTCCTTCGGTAGGACTGCTTTACGTCTCTTGGCCGGGATTGATGGCAAACATCTTCCTTGGGACCGCGTTTATGGCACTTATCACAAATGTGACGCTTGAATGGACAGTATCGTGCGAAATGCCATTCACCACTTGACCAACAAAGTGTAGGCGGCTTGTTCGGCGTTCTGTTGAACGGCTTGTTCCAGCCAGCCTTTCTTGCTTTTTGCACAGCATGAACAGTATCGGCAATGGTGAGGCGACTCTGCTCAATCATAGCCGTGTCTTGTTTCAAGGTAATCAGCCTTTTGCATTCGCCTACAAGAGACTTCACTGTCAAACCTGGAGCTTGATCCAACTTAGCAAGGAGCCGAGTGCGGATTTCCGCGTGGCGTGCAGACTGTAAAGCACTGACAAATATGAGACACTTAAACTGGTCATCCGTCAGCGTAACTTGAAACGTTCACATTCACGGTTAACCATGTCTGCTAGTGCCTCATAATCGTCTGTATCACGCTTGACAATTTTTAGACATTGATAGCGAATGTTGAACAAAGATGTCGACTCACCAAAAATTTCTTTGAGTATGGCCACTGCTTCGTTGAAAGTGATGTCCTTCGGCTCTTTGGGCAAGATGTGGTCAAATAATCTTGTATGTTCATTATTACCGAGCTTGCGGAGCATATCCTCCCAGCGTTTGAACCACGCCTCGAAAGCGCATTCGGAATCAGCATCATAATGAAATCCAGTGATTGAATTCATAAGAAGATCAAGTGAAACAACCTGCGTGTCCGTGTAGCTGCTCCGTTTGATTGTACGTTCATGCACTGCGTTAAACTTTCAACCAGTTTCATTTGTGCTTCTATCTAGGATTGTTGCTGAAGAAGCAGCTTTTGAAAATGTTCGGCAGAAAACTTTATGATATTTTCCTGCTTGTCCGTCGCCATTGTTGAATCTCCACTTTTTCTCGCTATTCCGAATTAAACACCCAAAAATTTCTCTGCAACATTTCTAGCCCAGCCGAGGAAAAATCACACAGCATCGTTATATAACGCGCTAGGCTCCGATAGCTTGTTCACATGTTGCGCATGCCAACCCGCCAACTCCCGCGACATGCATTGTTTGCGCACCGCGGGTGTGGCTGTAAGAAAAGAATAGGTGGCCAAGATATGACTTGGTCAGGAGGAAGGAAGGCCCTTAGTTCAAAGTTGGCCTCGGTTGGAGTGCCTTGGCTCCATGGTTGGGATCGGAAAGACGATGATACACTTGTTGCTATGGCTAGGAGCCGACTTCAGTGACATTCGTGCCGTCCGTTCTTTTGTCCCTCCCTCTCCAACCGCGATCGCATTTACCAGACATAATATAGCTTTTTTTGCTAAACAATAGCCGGCTGTTAGCTCTCCGGAACAATGTCCATTCGTTACCGATGACTCAGCCGGCGTGTTTTTTTGCATTCTTTTTCTATTCTAATGTATTGCGGCACAATAGATGAGGTGCTTTGCACCTCTAGCTAACATGTATGATGATGATAAGCCGTGTGTTTCTCACCTTCAGCTATCATGTGTTGATGGTGATGATGGGTGACTATGAAATCATTCTGATGCATAGCACGGTACACTTCGGCATATGCGTTGCCCCTTCAAAGTGCAGGGTATTGTTGCAGAACTGGACCGAACAGCCACCGAATCTATCTATCAGCAAACATCCACAGGGACTGGTGGATCGGTTCACTTACCTTGGTAGCTGTGTCACCTCTGGCGGTCACATCACTGAGGCTGCTTCCCGTATCATCAAGGCCCGTGTGGCTTACCAGAGGCGGGACATCAGCCTTTCCCTTATATTCTTTTTACTTTCAACGTCCTTTCCTTACTGTTTTTTATCGTCATTCTGTCGACATGAGTTGTGACGCCTGGATCCACCGCGATTCCGTGCCCGGCTGATAGTTACTCAACTGATCTGAACCTGCTAGGCTGGTGCTTGCCATCTTCGTGAATGGGGACTTCGGCATGGGGCACATCAGTTACTGGATACCCTATCGACATGTGGCTCTGTCACGTAGTCAATAGTGCTCTTGCATTCGGTTTCTCGCATCCAGCTGTTTAAATTCCACTCCGAATAATTTTAATCTCTTTCTCTTTGTATATGTCCTGTCTGCGTACCACCTCATTTTTTCACCAATGCTATTTACTTTTATCCTAAGGACAAGATTTGTGACAGCTGGATCCATCACACTTTGGTGGCCACATCGTGGTTGCTTGACTCAACTGAACTGAACTTTACCATAAGAAGCAGAGGTTGATAGTTTTGACTGGTCGCTTCATCCCATCAAAGAAAAAGGATTTTATATCCGGCCTTGATCTAAAGATTTATTCCAGCTGAGTAATAATAATGTGTAAGCTGTACGGCGTAGCGGCACTTCGCTGCCGTGCGACCACCATCAGTCACACGCGGGCTGAATATACCGCGAGGACGCCCACCCCTACACGGATTCGAACACGCGCCGCAAGATTACGAGAATAACTTGTTACCACTAGGCTACGGGCCGATATTCCAGCTGACTGGTCGGCTTCTGCTTTGTCTAATGCTGTGAGACCCAACAAAGGAATTACTCACTTACCGCCGTTAACATTATCGTTAACACGAAGAACAACAGTGCGTCATTACTTTGTAATGGTCCCACAATGCCATAGGGCCATGATTTCTGATTAGCGACCCCGCTATAGAAGCCGACTATACATTCAACATCACGGCGCTTTCGTCTTGCAATACTTGCGAATCTTTCTTAGCTGAGTTGGTATCGACGATATAACTTTGCGGCTTTCGCTACCCAGCGTCATAATCGGCTTTGTTCAATAAGCATATCAGCACCAGCGGCTGTTTGGTTATGAGACGACTGCGAATTCGACATTATTGTTGGTTGCCAGATATATACTATAGTGTCAAGGCAGCCCATACTTATGTGCTCTCATTTTGCTCAACTTTGGTGACGTCATCTTTTATCAACGCCCGTCGTAAGTGACATCGGTATTGTGGCACGTACCATAGACTAAGTAGAGTGCATTTACCACGTCATGAGGATAAGGTTCTCTCGGCGGGCCTTGTCAATTTTGGCCTGTTATCCCGCTTGCGACGAATATTGTACCAGTTGAATTGTATGCCTATCTTCGTTTAGATGTGCCACACTAGCAGCCGGTGAATAATGTATATAACTTTTATTCTGGAGATTTTGTGTTTTGAGGGGATGAGCGCTCCGGGCGATATACCTTTCATGCCCTCCACTTAATCGCTGCTCGGTAGTTCGAGGGTTTGAGAGTACTCTTCCTGCCGCTTAATCTGCGCGATTTTATGTGCGATTACGTTGTTTTTTATACGGCCTTACATGAACCAGACTTAATGTTCGTCACATATATGTGATACCCAGTGTCTAAATCGAATGTGTTTTATTGAACACCCAGTTCTCAAGCCTTTCCGCCACATGCACTGCTTATTTCGGTTAATGTGTGTGACATCAGTTGCCTTTTATCGCTTCTCAACTTTGTTCTTCCTCCTCCTTTTTGTATTAGAACATTTCCTGGTTCCCCACCTCTGTCGGCCCTACGAAATCATCGCGCACGTGCTGCACAACAACCGGAGTCGTTGGAACAGTGAGTTGTTTGGGGGCGTTCCCCCCATTTTTCTGTTGCGCAGCACGTGAAACTTATCATGGTTTTTTTATGGACGATGGCGACCTATTCGCTGGACCCACCCTCCCACGTGCCAATGCTCGGCTCTGATCCACTGACATCCCTTTACTTTGAGTTCGTACTGCTTACGCTAATTCTTCATTATCAATTTTGTGCCTTATCACTCAGTTACTCTTTAGTTGTAGGATAGCTGTTAGCACCTTCACGAAAGACCTGAACTATAAAGTTCTGCTCGATTCCTCTTCATTCATGAGGTCTTATTCCTACACCCCTTCTTCCAGCATCCGTCAGCGACAAATCACTTACCTGACCCAGCTCACTCTTTATGGAGTGGCGCATCTCGTTTGAAGAGAATTGAATCAGAAGCAACCTTTCTGAACACCCACACGGCATTACTACTAGTCCCTCGAAAATTTGGGTCATCAGTCAGGTTTGCTAAGCTGTCTAGCTCCGCCTCCACTTGTCCATAGTTCCCCACAACTGGAGCTGTATTTTGCCCTACCATGGAATACCATCCGCCATCCTACCTTGGTCCACCTGCATAAGTTTCAGTCTCCCTGCTATGTATTTTAGCCCGCGTACAGTTACATGTGGTTGTAGGACAGTACAGGGTACTGACGTGTTGGATGTAACTATCCTGTTTTAGTATCGCATATCCATCCGTATTGATGTTTTCTCTCCACACTAACTTGACTATGACTACCCATTTGCTAGCACCTCATTTGAATGACCAGCCCATAGCCGAGTCGTTCCAAAAGCCATTTTGATCCTGCTTAAGGACGAGCGGTCTAGTATTATTCCTAGCCAGCACCCAGCTGGTGGTGGTCGCGTAGCAGCGAAGCGAAAGTACAGGGAGCTGACCTACTACTGGTGCCTTTCCACATTCACCAGTTGTTTATCGTACACTTGTAACCAGCAGTAGGTCTTTTTTATTAAGCGGGTACAAATATTGCGCCAGTTTGGTGATGGGGAGAGAATGAGTAATGTTCACACACTCTCGTACGTTTTTTCATTCAACTATTAAGGGTTATCATTGACCGCTTCACGTCGATCCATGTACCCACAGTCACCCTATTTGTCTCATGGAACCATGCACCCCTGTGGTTTCCATGGCATCTCCACTTAGTTCTTCATCATCAGGCGTTCCTTGTTTGTTCCCATAGAGATGTACTGCAGTCAATATTTCTTTGAAAATATCATCTGGGTCTGGTTCAGGGCAGGTTGCGAAGTCACTATCCATTTCAACAAACTTTTGAAAATCAATTTCCTCGAATTCTGCTACGGGAGATGTAATGTCTAATAAGGCAACAGCGCCCTACTCGAGAGTTTGAACAAAAAGAAAGCTTTCTTAAAGCACTTTTATATTGTTTCTGGTTGAATTTTGTGCTAAGCGGAGCTTATCTAAGAATGGAGTTCATTATCATATCTATCTGAGTACTCATGCTTACGCTGTCAGATGTTTCTAACTGTTGTCTTGCTAACACAATTTCTGATTTCTTTGCTCGCTACTTTCCAGTAACCGACCAGAAAATGACATAAATGTCAATGTCACCACAATCTAAGAGGCTAATGAACGGGTGTTGAACCGGTTAGCTTAGAACCAGTTGATCAACGGTTAGACAATCATTCTAACTCCTGATTGCTATCTGTGTACTGCATGGGGACATGTTCCAAAGGGTAGGCGTGATGCGTACCTGTGTGAGGCATGATTTCACACACAAACCATCAGGGTCAATTTGTGGACAGTGATCTTTGGGGGTACATTGTACGAAGTAATCACCAATCCATCGCAATGAGGCTGGACCTTGCCGTGGTGCGATGGTTTGTGTGCCTCAGTGATCCATTGAGCTATACTGGGTGGTGCTTTTGCACCTTCAGAGCCACTCATACCAGATTGGTCAATGGTTAGAGGCCAGACAAACTCAACCTCCTGGTCCTCCAGATTGGTGGTTGGAATGAGGGTGGCTCCTTATTCCTTAAAACGGACTCCTTGTAGCCCAATGCCAAACCCGCTGCCTTGCGGACAGGTTTTTGAACCAAAGGCTTTGGTTGAGAACCCTAATCGTTCTCCTGTCTAGGCCTGGGCAACCTGACATTATCCTGCCCACGCAATACAATGAATCGCACTTCAAACAAATTTCTGATGCTCAGGTCACCACAGAGGATAATCAACGGTGCCCTATCTGCTGCATCGGGCAGGGTGGATAGGGGTTTGGATGCTACTGCTCAAGCCTTCCCATCTTATTCCCCTTCTTGCGCTTTTTCACCCTTATCGTCCCGTTTCAGCTTCATTTTTATCCGCCCTGTTTTTAACCCCCCAATTCTTGACCCTCCCCCACCTTGCTTCAATAGTCGCTTGTCTTTTAGTTTCAACTCACAGGTGAACGCGGAGCATCATTCCTGCACTGTCAACAAGCCCATGTCCAAACAAGCGGCCCATTCTAGTTCATCGGCTTCCATTTGGAGCCCTCGACCCTCCTTCAGACTGGCATGTCTCAATGTTCGCACATTGCTTCAGATCGGTCAACAGGCAGCACTTGCCCGAACATTAGAGCCCCTCTCCATCGGTATCTGCTGCGTATCGGAGACTCGCCTGCAAGACTCCAGCTCTGTACTCACTCTGCGATCCCCTTCAGGTGACACTTGCAGCACTTTCTCATTGCGCCTATCCAGTGACCATGCAGCTTCGAGCACCGGCCAAGCCGGTGTTGTTATTGTCCTGAGTCCCCGGGCTGAAGCTGCTCTGGTTGATTGGATTCCAATCTGTAGCCGGATGTATGCGGTCCGATTGGCTGGCTCGTTCAAAGCTTCGAAGTCGCGTGGGACTAACAGGTATCTATTCGTTATCGCTGCCCATGCACCGACAAACTGTAGCGATGATTCGGTAAAAGACGACATCTATGGTCAAATGAACGAGCTCCTTAGCCACAGAAGAATCTCGGACACTGTTGTGCTGGCGGGGGATCTGAACGCTCAAGTTGGAAAATTATCCACAGATGAGCTGCATCTAGGTGACCAACATGGTATAGACTTCCGTAATGATAACGGTGAGCGGTTACTTCATTTGTGTGAGGATACTCGCTTATTTCTTGCGAGCACAAATTTCAGACACAGCACCCGCCGGATGGTGTCTTGGCGTCCACCAGCCTCGAACCAGCTATGGACGCAAATCGATCACATTGCGATAAGTTACCGATGGAGAGGCTGCGCCCAGAACTGTCGCTCGATTTGGAGTACATGTGTGGACACCGACCACGCATTTGTCTATGCTGACCTGCGGATGCGCTTTGGCGGGCGCCCACGACGACGCTGTGAGCGCATTGACACCAGCAAACTGGCGAAGCCAGCTGTTCTGAATGCGTATCGAAGTATGCTGTCGTGCGAGTTGGATAAACGCTCACTGGAGACAATTGAAGCTCACTGGTCTCATATTCACCAGACCTTACTTGCAGCATTAAAATCCTCATGTGCTATGTCTAATCGCCAACATGGACAGTGGGTCTCTTCACAGTCTCTGGGACTTATCAATGCTCGCCGGCATATTCCGGCTGGAAGCGAACACAATAAAACTCGCAAAGAGCACCGAGCGAAATTCCATGCTAGCGTGAAGAAAGACCGCGAATCCTGGTGGTCTCATCGTGCAACAGAGATGGAAATGGCCGCTGCCCTTGGTAACCATCGTAAGTTATTCCGTCTGATACGGGAAACGGTCAGCAGGAGACCTGGGGTTAGTGAAACTATACGTGACGAGAGTGGACAGCCTATACACAACTTATCAAAACGTTTGGAGCGTTTAGCTGAGCACCTTGAAAGGCAATTTAATCGGTCGGAATTGTTCGATTCTTCACCTTCGAGTGATCGCCATGCTCCGTGGGCTGTCCCTTTGGATCCACCCTCTCGCTCAGAACTCGAACGTGAGATCGAACCGTTGAAGTTAAATAAAGCCGCGGGACCTGATGGTCTTCCTCCAGCCCTCTTGGAATTCGGGGGACCTGCTCTTGTGGATGATTTACACGAATTACTAAAACAGTGGGAGCAGGAAACTGTCCCAACCGATTGGAGCCGCTCCATCATAGTCCCAATTATCAAAGGAGGATCACGATCGGAATGCGGCAGCCATAGAGGAATCAGTCTGATCTCCATCGCCTCCAAATTGCTTGCCTCTGTCATCCTTCACAGACTGACTGGCACTCGTGAAATCCAGATTCGTGAAGAGCAAGCTGGATTTCGTCGAGGTCGTGACTGCATTGACCACATCTTCACTTTGCGTCAGTTGTTGGAGCACCGTCACACATATTGGCGGCCCACCATTGTCGTGTTCCTCGATATCAAAGGTGCATTCGATTCGGTGGATAGACATGCACTTTGGGCCTGTCTACTCAGGAAAGGTGTACCTGAGAAATATGTGAATATGATCCGAGCATTATATGCGCGTAGCTCGGGCAGAGTGAGGACTTACGGCAAGTTGTCGTCGCCCTTTAATATCTCCAGCGGCGTGAGACAAGGATGCCCGCTGTCACCTTTCCTTTTCAACTTCGCTGTTGACGAAGTCATGGAGATCGCGTTCACAGGACACGACTTAGGTGTGAATCAGCTCCCAGGAGAACGACTTCTTGACTTAGAGTATGCTGATGATATTGCCCTGATCTGTGACAGCTCACAAACGTGCCAAGCCGCGCTGGACAGATTAGCACTGGCTGTCAGCCGCTTCGGCTTTGCTTTGCACCCTCGAAATGCAATGTGTTCCTCCAAGATTGGCAGGGACCGCCTCCTGCGCTGACCCTTAGTTGGGATCAGCTAGAAGTCGTTCAAAAATTCAACTACCTGGGAAGTTGTATCAGCGCCCGTGGGATTGAAGATGAAATCACGAATCGTATAGCAAAAACTCGGGGCGCTTTTGCTAACCTTCGCCACCTATGGCGCCGGCGCGACATTACTCTTGCCCTGAGGGGTAGTGTACA